AAAAGATCAGCATATGCTGTTAGCAGGTCTTGGATTTGTGGTGGAGGGGCTGATGGTGGTCGCAGAGATGAATTCAATGGTTCATTGAGCTGATCCACCAAGACATAGGCCCAGACATAATTTCCTTTTGCTGAGTTATACACCTTTGTTGCTGAAATTGAATGGAGTTGGAGTGGTGGCTCTAGGAGGCCCTAGAGCTTAACTGATTTGCCCTTTTCAGAAAATTCCAAAGTTTTCTTTTCCCAGTCACATTGCATTGAGCTATGAGCCTGTAACCAATCAAATCCCAAAATGGCATCATAGGGATGCATATCTAAGACAACCATCCCAGCAGAAAGTGTGTGTCCTTGGCAGTACCATTGTAGTTGTGGTATTCTCCTGTCTGTGATCAGGGTTTCCCCATTTGCCAGTTTCATTTTTCTTGATGGCATAGATTCTGTTGGTATGTTTGCCATGTGTACAAACTGGGAACTAATGAAACTGTGGGAGCTTCCACTACCCAACAAGATCAACATCACTTTATCCTTGACTCTGGATTTAAGTTTGATGCAATTCACATTGTCATTGCTGGATAAAGCATTGAGTGAGAGTTGACAAAACTCCTCATGGAGTGCATCTTCAGCTGCCAACTCATTCAAAGTATCATCAGACAGCTCCTTATCCAAGTCATTGAGGATTAAAGCATTAGCCTGAGGTTTGTTTCTTTTTGTGCATACTTCCAAATGTCCAGGCACAAATTTTTCTCCACAACTAAAACAAAGGCCATTTGCTTTTCTGTAATCCCTGAGTTGTCGATCCCTCCATAATTATTGCTGTGTACTAGTAATTCACAGTACTGTTGCTTTGTTCTCCCCATTAGCTGCATGGTATTGCTTGTTCTGATTGGCTCCTCTGTAGTATTTGTTCTTTGCTCTCTCAGTAAAACAAAGGCCATTTGCTTTTCTGTAATTCACAGTACTGTTGCTTTGTTCTCCCCCTTAGCTGCATGGTATTGCTTGTTTTGATTGGCTCCTCTGTAGTATTTGTTCTTTGCTCTCTCCAACATACCTTGCTGGATCCTAGCCAAAGTGGCTGCTCGAGTAACTGTGGCTGGCAAGTGAGGTTCCACAGTACTCCTGATCTCCTCCGTGAGACCCATGATATACTTTGGTGTGAAAAACAAGTCATCATAATTTGGGTTATGCATAATGATGCTGAACTGCAAAGCTTGGAATTTAGTTGTATATTCTTCCACTGTGCCAGTTTGCTTAAGTTCCAGCAGCTCATTCATGGCCGACCTCAAGTCATCAGCACCAAACTCTTCCTCAACTGCTGCACAGAACTGTGCCCAATTGCCTGGAGTGTGGGTTTGCTTGTAAGCTTGGTATCACTTAGCTGCATTTTCTTTGAAATGCAGGGTTGCTGCTGTGATCCACATGCCTTCAGATTAACTGTAGAGCTCAAAATAGCTCTTGCAGTTGTCTTTCCAAATTTTGGGATCATTACCATCAAATACAGGAAATTGCATCGTGGGTATAGTGTGCCTAGGCAATGAAGTTTTGTCACCTGAAGAATGATGTGGTTTCTTGAGTCTTGAAGGCTCTGGCTTGTGAGCAGTCTTGTGATCAGCAAAGACATTCTTAAAGCTTATTTCATCCTCAAAAAGAACTGAATCAGTATCATTGCCATCCTCCATCTTTGCCTCATTGCTGAACTGCCGCAGTGTGAGCTGGGCCACTGCCTGCCCATTGGCCTTCACCTGCTGGGCAATCATGTGCTGCTCTTGGGAGTATTGATCCATGGCTGCTCCTCTAATGTCCAATTGAGTTTTCAGCTGTTGTTGCACCACACCCAAGTCGTTTATCTGGGTGAACAGAAGATCGAAATGTTCCTTAACTTGATCCCATCTGGATTTCTCCTCGTCTGCACTCCGGGACATGGTTTCCAACAAAATTTGGGTCTGCTTAGATAGCTTTGGAGGAGCCGTGATGACTGATGAAGGAGCTCAACAAAAACCAGGTACTAGCAACCGGTTTGGATTTCTCCTCCCCGAATCCGTGCTAAGTACTATCACCGCCGCCTGGAAGTGAGGCGTGACCGAGGGATTTTACACGACAACCGATGCCTCACAACCCAAGTCACGGACGCTCCACCGCCAACGCCTCCGCACCGAATTGACCACAGAAGCTACCGAGTTTTACACAGGAACAAGTGTCCTGCAACCCTCGCCCTGTGTCCAAACGTGCTAGATGTATAAGAAGGAGCAAAACGACAGTGCTCACTGTGGTTCGTTGCCGCCAAATCCGAATTGTGTCGATGTAGTCCCCCAGTTGTTTGTCGAGCCGTAGATGGACCGATCAGAGCGGATCTGGTTGTGGATTAGGGTTGGGCGTAGGTGGTTTGTGGATTGGTGGGGTTGTAGACGACACTGAAGCCTATGCAGACCTAGTTTAACCAAAGGAGGGACCTACGGGACCTCCGTCGAACACCTCAAGGGCGGAGACAGAAATCACCTGCCGACCGGAATTACGAACTATGATCGACGCAAACGGACTCGAGACAGTACTTGAGAAGGAGTAGGCGGTGCATTGGTGGTGGTGGTACGCCAAACCCTGGATCCGTTGCCGGGAGTCGTCAGAGTGCTGGAGCGGGCGGTGATGAAGAGAGGGGATGCTTGCCACCCACGCCGAGGATAGGTTGAATCCAATACCACTTGTCACACCCTTGGCCGCCGGCTTGCCACCGTCGACGTGAGCACGAGAAGGTGGATACCGAACAAGGACGCCGGCGAGGCAAACCCCTCAGCCTTGGCGATTCTGTATTACTGAATAGTCTGATATCGGACCCGATACAGGACGCAGCACATATGTGCCTCACTTACAGTCACTGGCCACTCAGGCCCACAAGTCATAGTTCAATACAGAAACGTAAACATGAATGCAATAGGTAAATACGCCGCCTCCTGTCTGCTCTTCTCTTCACGCAGCGTCACCGGGTGTGACACACCATCCCACGACCCAAGGTATGCCACGCACCATGGCCACCACTACAACTGGATAAAAAGGAAAAAAAATGAAGGAGAGACACTGCGAACATTTGCATGCATCTAGCTTTACAAAGACGCTGCCGATTTAGCTAAGATCCGGCACAAGTTATTGGCCTAACCCAAAATAGGTGATAAGGAGCCAAACCAAGCCACGTTTATCTAACACGTACTATTTGCATGACATCTTTATTGAACACGGTAAGTTTATTCTGTGATAGCGTGGTATATCCGTTACCCTACATCTTCACCATGTTTAGCTGGTTATCAGATCAGTTTTAATCATGCATGATCAAATCCTTGCTGCACCACTAAGAACAACCAAAACATCCTTTTTTTTCTCAACACCTGGGTCACTTTCAAATTAAAGAAAATAACAGGACCATAGCTTGTTCCCCTTATTATTCAGCTTACACCGTCATATACATTTACGGCAATCTAATCGGTTGTCGTTCCTTCAGCTCCGAGCGCGTAGCAGAAGGGCCGGCCGTGGATGGTCACCAGGTTGCACTCTGTCTCCGACACGAGGGTCGGGGCGAGTTCAAGCAGCCCGCCCCAGGAGCAGGTCGCCCTCATCTCAGCGCCGCCCTCCATGCCGTCCATCATGGTCCTCAGCGCACTGCACCGGCAGTAGGGCACAATCTTCTCCAGCTCCGCGCAGCACCTCTCCATCACCGGCAAGGGGACGAAGGGGCGGCGGCCGACGCCGCAGGCCCGGCGAACCATGTACGTGCGGCAGCTCGGGAGTGGGTTGAGCGGGATGACCAGCCCTGGCTCACACCAGTTAGTCCTGGCAGCGGCGGCGGCGAAGACGGACAGCAGAACCGCAGCTGAGAGGAGGATGTAGCTGGACCTGGATGCCATTCCTGCTCCTCCGTGCTTCAACTTTCTTTGTGGAAAGATGCAGCAGCTTGGGAAGATACAGACTTTATATAAACTGAGAGAAAGCTAGAAATAAGCAACCTGGCAAGTGACGTGCTAATTGTGTATGTACTTCTTTTTTTTTTTACAATTGAGTCCTGTGGAACTGAATCTAGCAGAATGCATGACACAATGCTTGTATGACTCAGTTAAGCTTTATTTGTTGAAACAGAATTTGGGGTGTCCTGCAGCCACTAGTGTTCTGCCTGCCATCATTGAAAACCTTTACAGCCACTATTGGACTTTAGTTTGTTCAGGAGCTTTACTCTTGGGCTCTCACCCGAGATGGAGAAGCTATTCTTGATACAGACTGTTTACAGACACAAAGTTAGAGAAGCAAGCTGGCGTATATAATCGACATAGATGTATGTACGTTTTTGCTTAATGCATGAAATCTTGCTTGTGGTACTAAATTTGAGTTGCACCACAGGTAAGAGGAAATGGAGCTTTAATTTATTTGTTGAAACTGAATTTGGGCGGTGTCTTCCAGCTTTGTAGTTTCCTTGTTACCATGGAAAACTTTACAGCAGCAAACCAATGGATTTTAGCAACTTACTTATTAACTTTCATCATCAGTGGCGTGCACCTCTTCTCTATTATTATGTTTTTAATGGTGTATCCAGTACGTATAAGCATCGCAGTCCATTAACGGACACCAACGCAATTCAGTATATATTATGCAATTCATATTTGAAGTGACTGTTTATTAATATTTACTAGATGAAGTCACCTCGCACAGTCCTTTAGAGGCAATTGTTGGGAACCATGTGAGTAGTGTGTCACCTCATCGATCGTTAACGGCCATCGATGCACGGTGCAGGGGAAGAACAGATAGATATATAGTCCAGTCCGGGTGCAGAGAATCTCGAGGAGTTGATCAATGTTCTACGAATTGAACATCATCTTTGTGCCTCAGCCGCAATCTCATATATATTCACCGCCGATAATCAACGTAGTATGAGCATACATGCATGATCAAGAGCTTAAATTTATTGTTCATCCAGTGCATAGTTCCCACGCAGTACATGAGACGACTACTACACGACACGACGGCGCTTCATAAGTTTGTCGAAACTAATTCTATGCCCTGCCTAGGGCTAGCGAGTTCGCGGCACATGCCGCCGTCGATCGTCGGCAGGTTGCACTCGGCCGCCCTCGTCAGCCGGCGAGCGAAGGTCCTCTGCATCTCCCGGGTGCAGCCCCGGAAATCCTGCAGGCCGCCGTACTCGCTGTCCATCATGAACCCCAGCACCGCGCACCGGCACCGTGGCGGGACGGCGGCGAGCTCCTGGCAGCACCTCTCCTTCAGCACCGGCGAGGGGTCAACGACGGGACCGTAGGGTCCGCCGAGTCCGCAGGTCCGGCTGACCGCGTAGACACGGCAGCTCGGCACGGGCGGGACTGGGATGGCCAGCCCTGGAACGCACGCCGTCACATCGACGGTGGCGGCGCAGACTGCGAGGGCGGAGAGCAGGACGCCTGCGGAGACGAGGATACGGCCGGACACCATTCTTGCTACTATTTCCTGACGCAGCACTTTTAGTCTACAAGCGTATTGTGTTGGTACATACTCCTATATAGCAAGAGATATAAAGAAGCAAAGCTGGCAATTGATGTATTATGTGCTTTTCTGTTTGCTTTATCGAGCCTTGCAGAACTATAATTTTGGATGTAAACCTTTGCATTGTGATGAATTGTAGTTTTGCTGTAAGATGTGTGAGCCTCTGTAACAGAATTTGGATGTGTGTTCTGTAACTTGTGTTCTGCAAATAATTAATTTGCTATCATGGTAATGCTTTACAGCCACTCAAGATCAACTTTTTAATTGTCATTTGTCGATCGTGTATGCGACTTTACCTGCATCCATGGCTAAGGTACGGTTCTTCGGTCTTTCTTTTTCTCTTTCGATCTGACTGGATAAAGCAAGTGAAGTTTATTGGAACAGAATTTGGGGTATCCTGCAACTTGTGTTTATGCTTGGTTGGTATGCATTCTGTTAGAATTGACACATACACTTTACTGGTTGGTTCCCTTGCCTAAGGGCAGTCCCAATGCTACAAACCACAGTTAGTTCTTATGTCAATTAGTCTATGTAGGCATTATACATAAAAATTATCTTCCCAATAAATAGTTTCTACAGAATAATCTTTTATCCAATCACACATATATTCTTTTTCTCCTGTCCACCTATCACATCTCTTCGTATCTTGATTCCCGTGTGATATAGTTTCTCATTAAGAAATTGTTTCCTCCTCTCTACTCAAATCACTTGCCACAACAATGCCAATTTGATCTACTCCATTTGCCAGTAGGGCAGTTATCAGTAGATACATAATGTGTAGGGCATTTAGCATCGCCATAGATCTATTTGCTTGATGACGACGATCTATGTCATTGTAGCGTAGATCGGTAGCAAGTAGAGATAGCTGACCCGTTCTACTAACAATATTGGTGATGTCGATGTCATTGATGTAGCCGCGACAGGATGTTGGTACAAGCGCTGACCACATCGAAGATTGATGGCAGCTTCAACGGCGATGTCAACATAGAGCTTGCCATGATAATAACGTGTTGTAAAACATGCCGTCAGCGGTTAGGATCATTCCCTCTCCGTCTCTCATGATCAGCACAGTCGATGAAAGTAGAAGAATACGTAAACACAAGATAGGGAGACTATTCTTTATTTTTTAGAATATAGGTAATTACACCATAAACCTCTAACGTGTATACAGTCTTGTCAAAGCATACTAAGAATATGTTTTTTTATCGGTACTAAAGATATGTTAAGAGTACACAAATGGACCAGGATTATAATTTCTCTCCTTTTTTTCCTTCTACAATAGAGTCAGTATGTTTTACAATATAATACCATTACGTAGTTGAGCTTTGATCGGGATCGGGCTCCCATTGCCATCTCTGGGTTGTTGCGCTCGGCACATATATAAGACACGCAAAGGTCCGGGGCTCTTCGTCAATCTAATCATAGTTCCACCTTCCGATTCTTTCACCCGTGACCCAGCAGCAGGCTCGCCTCGTGATTGATCAGATCTGGTGGAGAGACCATGGCGGAAACGGTGGCCGCCTCCGCCACCGTGGCCGTGGCCGTGGCGTGCGTCCCTGATGTCATCATATCCAATATTCTAGAGCGGGTGCCGGATCTGGTGTCGCTCTTCCGCTGCTCCCTTGTCTGCAAGGAGTGGCGTGGCATCGTGACCGACCCGGCCTTCCTCCACCGCCGCGGCATCTGGCCACAGCATTAGCAAGGCGGGCAGTCGTAGCCGCAGCCGCAGTCCTCCTCGCTCGTCGGCATTTTCATCCAGCTCAACCGGCTCAGAGACAAGTTTGCGACCCGCATGCCGGCGGTCTTGGTCTCGGCGCCCGCGGGCTCGGCCCTCGGGCCGCAGCGCCGGTTCCTCACGTCCTTCATCCACGACGGCGACGGCGACGGCATCCTCGACGACGCCAGCCCGATGACGGCGCGCGACGGCCTTCTCCTCGTGCGCATCTGGCCTCGCTCCACGGACAACAGCAGCGCCGTAGGCAGCGCCGTAGGCAGCGCCGTAGGCAGCGCCGTCCTACGCCTGTGCGTGTGCAGCCTGCTCACCGGCGGACGCGACCTCCTGCCGGCGCTCGACGTGAGCGAGTCCTTTGCTGGCGAGGATGTTTACAGGTACACCCTCCTCAGTACCGCCGACCACGGCGCCACTGACCCGCACGACGGCCACCTCGCAGATGGCTACAGCACCTTGTTCCAGGTGCTCCTCATCGGCAGTGGCCACGCTGATCAGCTGCAACTCCGTAGGTTCTCCTCGGCTACCGGACTCAGTGGCTTTGCCGAGTGCCAGGGCACTCGGCAAAAAATGGGCCGGCAAAGGCGCCTTTGCCGAGTGTCTTTTGTCGGGCACTCGGCAAAGCCTTTGCCGAGTGCCCGACACTCGGCAAAGTTGGAACCGAAAAAATGGGAATTTTTTTTAATCGGTGGAGGCCCCCACCGGCCAGCACCCGCCCATCTCCGGCATTTTTCGCGTAAAATTCGCGGCTACGAGGCCGGCGGGATTCTAACCGGCGACCTCTCCCTCGCGCGTCCCCTCCTCTAACCACTGCACCATACTGCCACCTATGTCTAGATTCCGTTTTGGTTCCCCACATATTATATACTAAACCGAGTGTAAATTGCTTGTTTGAGGCCCTAAACTAATTCAAATAAAAAAGTTGTAAACTACAAAGTTTCATAACTTTTCGAGAACTACACATTTAGTTTAGGAAGTTTTTTCTATCCGAGGTCGTTTACAAAATTTGAATTTCAAAATTTTGAAATTCAAACGCAGTTTTGCATGACAAGATGATTTCAAATCAAAAAGTTGCCAACTACAATGTTTCATAACTTTTCGAGATCTACAGAGTTTATTTTGGTTGTTTTTCAATCCGAGGTCGTTTGAAAAGTTCGAATTTTAAATTTTTGAAATTCAAACACAGTTTTGCATGACAAGATGATTTCAAATCAAAAAGTTGTCAATTACAAAGTTTCATAACTTTTCAAGATCTACAAAGTTTATTTTGGTTGTTTGGTCATCTGTTCATCCGACATGGTCGTTCTAACATTGTTCACAAATCTTATGTCTCTCTTGTAGTTTCATAAACTACAAGAGAGATATGTTAGATTTATGAACAAATTTACTTTCACTTTGTCATATGAAGAAAAGACCAAAACAAACATTGTACATCTTGATGAGTTATACAACTTTCTAGTTGAAATTTTTTTCATTTGAATTAATTTACTGCTTTAAAATGTGCTTTGAATTTTTCTTTGCCTAGTGTAAAAAAACACTCGGCAAAGAAGCTTCTTTGCCGAGTGTCAAAAAATACACTCGGCAAAGAGCTTCTTTGCCGAGTGTTTTTTTTCGCACTCGGCAAAGAAGCTCTTTGCCGAGTGCCCGAAAAAAAACACTCGGCAATCCACTTGGCACTCGGCAAAGAGCCGGTCTCCGGTTGTGTCGAGTGATCGGGACACTCTCAGTGCGAGCAATCAACCTCGGGCCTCTGGAGCCCCATGGACTTTGGGTGCCCTACGGATGTCGCGTCGCTGTTGTTGCACGGGAATGGTGCACTGGTTTTTACGTAGCTACGCGGCGAGCTTCTACACCTTGACGTGAGCGACGGACGGGCGGGTCTCCATGACCGCGCCCCCGTCGGGCGCTGCTAGCCAGATCCTCATGGTGGGGCCGCCTGCACAAGGCTTGGTGGTTGTGCACGAACGCCGAGGGAAGACTCGCTCGCTCTTTGTTGAGAACAACAACCGTCTGGTGATGGTGAAACAATGAGACGACTGGAATCAGGTCGCTTCTTTGGGATAGCCCAGTTGACGTGGAGCTAGGGTTTGAGACGAGTTCGCCCTCTCCCCGTGTGCATCGGACGGAGGAGAAGACTGCGCGCGCAAGGCTCAAGGCTCTACCATTCGGACCCCGAGTGTGCGTGATGTGCTCGACCTCGCGCCTCGGGTCGGCGAGCAAAGTGGAAGGTGGATTCGGTCCTTCGATTATATGACAGCCGTGCCTTGTGAGATCAATCGGGAGATGTTCTTCGTGTCACACTGGCTGTCAATACAGCTATCAATGAAGGCAAGGACACGAGCCGCCGCCTAGGGTCGAGGAAAACGCCGCCGCGCGCTCCTAGGTCCTCATCGTCACCGTGCCTCCACCTAGAGCCTCTCTTATTCTTCCTCTCGGTGCATCTACCAGAGGTAATAAGAAAAGGACCCATCTTTTTCAGCAGTTTTATATCTAGTTTGTTTAGGGGTTTAGTCAAATAAATCTACCGATGAAATCAAATGATTTACGGTCGGAATCATGTTTCTGCGATGACTTTGTGATTGCCAAGATGAGATTGATGTTGTAGGCGTCGATTTCATCGATAGACGCCAATTTATGGCCTTTATTTGCAAGGAAGGGTGCTTACGGGAGCTCCATACGAGGATAGCAACTCCAGGTCATCGATATCATCGTCGATGGTCGCGGAGAGGAATTCAAGGTATAAGGTGATGAATCTACATCCTATGTCATACCCAACGATGCAACTGTTGATAGTCTTTCAGCGATTTAGATGTGTTTTGGACTGGTTCCGAAGCGTTGGATCTTGCCATGTTCAATGTTTTGGGGTTGCTCTTTGGATTTGGTCTAAGGACTGCACTTTGGCTCCGGCTATCGAGAAAAACCATTGGGGAAGAAGACGATGGAAAATCTGGTTAAAATATTATGTATTTTTTAATTTGGATCTTTTTCATGTGTAATTTAGAGATGTACTGTGCTAAGATTTAATATAAGTCCCCGTTTCCTTTGAAAAAGTACGAGCAAATGCCCAACCATCATGTCAACGCAATGACTGTCTAATCGTTTATTGTTTTTTATTCTTTTCTTCAACGAGCTAGTGCCACAACGGCGTGTGGGCTTGTCTTTCTCGATCATGCATGACATGAGAAGGCAACATGGCATGTCAGTGACGAGAGTTTTTTTG